CTCGCCCGAGCGCGAGACAAACGCTGAAGAAAAAGAAGAAGAAGAATTGTTAGGCAGCAGTGATAGGAGGCTGGGAATTCGTGTCTCACACACTTGAAGGGCACGTGAATTGAGAGTTGCTACCTGACATTTTTAAAGTATCTTCCAAAGATAAGACACCTGAGTGGTTTCCAGATTTTTTTTTCTTAATGGCAATATAGTACATGCAAGGTCTTTTGATATAGCATTCGGTTTGATGGAAGTTAAAGTTCAATGGGCCACCAGATTGCCTGTTCTTGTGTCTGGATCAGACACAGATTACACAAGCCCAGGATGCTCAAAGAAAACCAAAGCCTTTGAACTCTTTCCTCTGTTCCTTTGCCTAAGTTCCACTTATCATCAAGGTCAGACTTAATCACTTTGCAGTTATGTTCTCTGCTGCTTTTCTGAAGCTTTCTGTACAGATTAAGAGATGCTTTTCGATGGTGACGTCTTTTGATTTGTAATGGAGAGCTATGATGCATCTAGGATCCAAAGATTGTTAAGTGTCTTGAAAATTGCCCAGTAAAGCAAGCAACACTTAATGAGAATAGGGAGGATAATGGGCTGAAGTAGAGATAGCATTAGTGATACAAACTGCTCACAACTTCGTTTTGAAAGGAAAACATGTGCATGAGCTGTCCAGCAATTTGGAAAAACAGTTCCATGTTTATTTTACCCCTTGAAACATAATGAAATAACAACTCTCTTGTTCTTCATTTCCCGAAGGGAAATGAAAAAGTGAACAAGGCTTGAGTGGTTTAACGTTGTTTTCTAAATCACTTTTATAGGATGCAAAATACGTAATTAATTTAAGCAGGTTATATTTTCCTGTGCACCATGAATGCGATATCAAAATCTGCAAGATGACGGATGCGCTATCACAATCAAAGCCCTGCCTTCATAGGACATACCCAAAAGAGACTGAATTGCAGTGAAATCTTACCATCTTGCTGTTTCTGTTTGCTACCCAAAGATGCTACAGGATTTTATTGCATTGATTGGATAAAACCTGCATCAATAGTTTTATTTTGGAATGTGGTTGTCAATGATTTTCACAAAATATAGCTTTGTTTTTTTAAAAAAAAAGAAAGGAAGAAAAAATTAATTGGAATTTGGGGATTAAAAAGGAGGCAAACAAGTTGTTGAAAATACAGTAGGAAAAAAAAACTGGAACGAAGAAATAAGGAGACATAATTAATATATTTTCATTTCAGTTTTTCAATATCTTCTATTTTTGTTTCTTGTTTACTATTTTTCTTAGCCTTATACATTTTGTTATGCTGAAAAATTCTAATTAAAAATGTTCACAAATAGCTTTGATTTCTGTTTTACAGAATCGTAGTCTTTTAACCATTCGTTTCTGCCATCCTTGATTGACCTATTTATCCTACCTGAATTTATGGGGCTTATTTTAGAGTGGATGTGTACAGGAGTATACTGTTACTTTTCAATTTCAAGAAAGTGAATTTATAATTTTTCCTATATTTGCATAGGTTTAAATCTACTGGAATATGAATATCGGATGAAAAAATTCTCCTGATCTTAAATTTTTTCCATAGAAATGGCTCCCTTGGATTTGTCAGTGAAAGATTTGATGAGTTCTAGATTACAGCCAGTATAATAAAGTTGTTGAAAGCTAAATAAGATAAAACATAAAAATACACATTTTTCAAAGTCATAAAAATAGAAAAGAATAGTTAATAAAGCAGTCAGTGCAAACTACCAAATCACAAGAAATGTTCCTACTATCCCAGTCTTTTTTTTGTTCATACAGATACTGGAAATAAAATACCATATAATGTCTGTTTTTGCAGAACGACCAATCTATGGAAGATACTCGGATCATAGGAGGAGATGACTTTTCAAAACTGTTTGAAAAGGTTGGTAGACATCTTAAAGGATGAGTTTGTTTTAAAAACTGCTTATTTAATAATGAAAATAAACATTGAACATAGGAATGTATAAATGATTACTTATAAATACAGGGAATCCTTGTTCAGTGATTACTCATTCAATGAACATTCAAGATTACAATGAGGACACTTACAGACATTCCTTGTAATTGTGGATATCACACTATCCCTGCAATCATATCATTACAATTCAGGCACTTGGCAACCAACATGCATTCACTGCATTTTCAGCATCTCACAATCTCATGATCATGATTTCTGGTCTTCGTTACCAGCTTCTACAAGCAAAATCAATGAGAACCCTAGCAAGAGATCACGAATGGCGATCATGTGACTTTGCATTTAACAATCACAAGGATTTGTTTCATGACCACCACTATAACTGTCATACGTCCATGCAGTCACATGACATTGTACTTTACATCTGCATCATTTAGTGGATGTTATTGCTGTCATTAAGCAAGGGACCTCTGTAATAAATTATCAATACTTCATCCATTTTGTAGTGCTCTAATATCCTTCTGAGGCCTGGGAGTCTTGCAGCCCCCATCATTCCCACAGTACACCCACCATGAATTCAGCTAAAAATATAATTGTGTATGTGATTGCACTTGAATGCCATGATAAACTACATTTTTTTTCCTAAATCCACCAGATGTGGTGGAACTTGGTACCCATAATTGTTTTTGTTCTGCTGGCAGAGAATTTACAAAAGCTTGAAGAGACTGTGTTTGGGATGGCTGACTTCTTATGATGGGTACAACCCTTAGTAACCTATCTTGTATATGCATATTTTCCTACCAACACAGCACAACTTAACTATGATTTATGATGCCATTCAGTGGCTAAACTATGGTTTAACTTTATCTGAAACAAGTTAGCTTCATATCTCCTGGGCCTAAACACAATTTCAGATTTCAACAATATGATTAATTACAGTTTATCAGAAATGGAAACAATTGTTAGAACATGGTTGAAGAAGGATGCACGCGAGCCTAAACCTTGTGTAACTTGTCTCTGTAATTATGAACAATAACTTATTGTGATGTCTGAAAGCAGCTATTGTCTGTTTGGCTTCACAATGTATCATTACATTGGTCTTGGCAGTAGTTCTCCGTTTACACATCTTGCCAATTGATGGTTTGTTGGACAAGTTAGCAACAAGCAAAGTCACTTGCTGGGTTGATACATTGTGCTAAGCTACAGTCCATGTTGTTGGATGAATGGGGCATGGCTGTGCAGCCATTGTAATTTCTAAACTGTAATTTATAGTTTAAGGCTATGTATTTACCAGCTCGGGCTTACAGACAAAGTAGCCATGGCTTTTGTGGCCTATATCCAGTCTGTTTTCTGTCTCAAACTGCTCCTGCCTGCTGCATCTGTGGATTGGCTAGAGGCTTCAACAAGTTCAACAATCCCCCCCCAAACACATGCATTGAGTGCATGTGTGTGTGCGCGCGCATGTGCACGCACGTGTGTGTGTGTTAATCAATCAAACTTCTTAACTGTACATTTTCCTCTTGGAGGGGCTATGGGCAGTGTTCAATTTAATCAATATAATAAAACATTAAACATTGAATAAGGATTTTTAAAAAATTAAAATGTAAAAAAAACAATATTATAAAATTAGCAAAAATCTAGAGTTCCAAGATGGGGAGACTAGGAGTTGTTAATACAGGCGGCAGGGGTTTCTCACGCGGCCAACCAGTGCCCTCCATACAAGGCCTTCACAGCCAAGTGTTGACTCCTTTGCAGAAGGCCAATCAATTGGAAGCCTTCCTCACTTCTGAGGGCAAGATGGTCCACAAAGCAGGGGCAATAGGTCTTCCTTGAACTCTGCCAGTCAAATTCTTTGACTGACAGGGTCTCTACCATGCCTTTTCTACCAAATTGAGTGGGTCAGACTGATGCAATAGAGTAAAGCCAGTTCCATAAGAAGCCAGGCCCTGTGCCCTATAGCCGTGATGGTGAACCTATGGCACATGTCCTACAGGTGGAATGCAGAGCCCTCTCTTCAGGTACTCGAGCTGTTGCCCCAGCTCAACTTCACTGTGTATGCGACTCCCACCAGCAAGCTGATTTTCAGGTCTCTGTCACACATGGCCAGTGGGCCGCACCCCCATGCCCCATCTTTGCTCCCAGGAGGCTGCAGGGGAACTACTAGGCTCAAAATGGGGTGTGGGGGTGCAGTGCAGGCCCGCCCGTGGCCCATTTTCGCTCCCAGGAGGCTGCAGAGAGGCCTACTAGGCCCAAAATGGGGTGCGGGGGTTTTTGTGCCCATGCGCAGGGGGGCAGGGGGTTGCGCACATGCGCAGGAGGAGCAAGGGGGTCACCTGCATATTCACAGGGCGGGATGAGTGTGACGGAGTCACGTGCGCATTGCATTACAGGTGCAAGCACACATGTGTGCTGTTGCATGTGCAAGCGTGCACTTTTTGGCACATGATAACAAAAAGGTTAGCAATCACTGCCCTATAGGCTTTCATAGGTAATAATCAACACCTTAAATTGGACCAGAAGCAAACTGGAACACAGTGCTGTTCATGGAGCGATGATATTTATTATATGTGCCCTTCTCTGGATACCTAGTGCAGCTTGTGTGGCTTCATTCCACACCAATTGAAGCTTCCAGATACTTTTCGTGTATGTGTGTGTGTGTGTGTGTGTGTGTGTTTCTGTTTGTGTGTGAGATATGTATATATTATATTCATATGTAATGTTCAATTTAATTCCATTCATTAAATCATCAACCTATGATTACTAAAAAAAGATCATAATCTATTCATTGAGCCTCTTCTGTGCTTCATGCTAAACTAAATAATAAATACTGTTTCTGGTTTCCAAAGTCATCAAAAAAGGCAGTAAACTACAGAACTTTTTAATGGTTTCAATTATTATGACTATTCCATTTCTAGCACCTGGAGAACAAGTTGTATTTCTTTTTCCACTATATTTGAACATAATTACTTGACGGGGGAAGGAGAGTGGGGGATGGAAACTGTTAAAGTACAAAACTGAGATGTCCAATGACATGTGATGATGCAACTACGTGTGATGATTCCATCATGTACCATGTTATTTTGTGTACAATTGTGTTTTGTTATAGATGTGCTGCAAGAGCTAAGCCATACAAAAAAATGAAAGATTTATTTCACTGGGTTCAGAACATTGGGGTCATAACCAAGTTTGGTCTAGTGGTTAACACATCGGGCTAGAAACTAGAAGACTGTCAGTTCTAGTCTCCCCCTGCCCTTAGGCTGTGTGAGTTTAGGCCAATTACTAAGAGACCATGAGTTCAAATTCGTTCATAGGCTGAGTGATTTGTGGCCAGTCACTGTCTCTCAGTCCACTCATTTCACAAAGTTGTGTTATGGGAAAAATATGAAGATGGAATATTGCGTGCATTTGTTGCCTTATTTGTAAACATAATAAAGGTGGATCATATCAAACCTTAGAGTAAATTTAGGAAGGGTAATAACAAAATTAATTTTCCCAAGAGTACAATTATTCTGTGATAATATCATGACTTTTAACTAGTTAAATATTTCATTTAATTTTAATTTCTTTTAATGAAGTAATTGATTGTATTATATTACATTTTCCTTTACCAAAATCTCAGACTTTTAATTACTGAAGAAGATATGAGATGAATGTATAATTTATTCAGTAAAATTGCCACTGACAATTATCTGTAAGAGAAAAGTCTATATATAAATTTTTTATTCTGCTAACATATCCAAAACAATTTTTAAGTAGCTTAATTGCTTTATTATGAAAGAAAATTGTTATGATTGAAATGTTCTTTACTGGCTTTTTAAAAAAAGCAATACATTTGACATTGATTACTGCCCGATCCTCTACATTCAAAATTTGCTGAATTATTATTTTCAGACAAGTGTTTAAAGGATTGCAGTCTTACAAGTGCATTGGGTGTCAATCTATTATATTTTGTTCAGCAGCATTGGCTTCTGATAAATATATAAGATTGCTATCTTTATCAATTTAACTGACTTACAGCTTAAACATATTTCTTACAATTGTTTAATGGCGCTTATTCCCACATAAAAATCTCACCCTAAACCTATAATCCCGTGTAAATCATTAATTTTTTCATCTAAAATATTGATTGGTTAAATTCAGAATTGATCATGGGAAAGAATTTGTTCGTATATTGTCTGATAGTTTAATTCTAGAATCAAGATTGTTTAGTTGATAGCACTTTCATCATCTGAAGTCAATGCTCATGGTTCCATTGTCAGAAGTGATGGAAATGGTGATAAGCCAGAGACCTTTTTTGGTATGGATGATCTGATTAAGAAATGCTTGCCTTAACTGTCATTCACTCATCTGCCTCATTTTTACCAGATAACTGAAGGGAGAAATTCTTGCAAAACAAAAAAGTAAAGTTCTGAAGCCCTTGTGAGTTGACATACAAAATCTAACCACTCTGCCCTATTACTGAAATAGACTGTGGAACTGCACATTAACTCAAAGCTATAAAAGACATTTTTATGGAAAAATATGCCACATGAAAGTTTAAAAGCCAACTTTATAAGATGCACAGCTTTATAAGATGTACATTTTTGTGCAAAACCACAAAATAAGATTCCAGTGAATAGCACAAAAATAGAAGACGAGTAAATATTTTACCATCCAGCCGTCCAGGTGTTTTCATTGGTCAAGGATGAATTAGTTCTTTATCACTAATATATTATGGCTTCTGCTTTCCTTTCTAATAATATTATGCATTCCTCACAAAGATTATAGAAGTGAATCAATAAATATTTTCAGTTAAACGTGCAGCAGCCTTATCTGTCAAAAACAAAGTGGTTCATAAACAGTACATATTTTATTTTTGTAGCTACTTACAGATGGTCCGTATCAGACTACTTAAGATTAGAAAATGAGTAGACATTTTTCAGGGTATTTTTAAATTTTTATTTTGCCAAAGTAGGCTTACATGCCACTTTTTGAGATGTATTAAACAGAGAAACTAAATATTAACTCCAAGTTTACCTCTTCTTATGCTTGAATTGTTGATTTTGTGGGAGAAAAAAGATTGTTGGTCTTCAGGTAATCAAGACCAGTTTTTCGCAAATTGATGTGTAGGATTCAGATCCAAAGCAGATAAAAGTGGTTTGGAAAGTAAACCCCATGTTCCTCTTCTTAAATGAGTACTTTCCACAGAAAACAACAGCCAACTCTTTGGGGAACAGGAGAATAAAAACATATCATTTTTGGATTATGCTGAAAGAGATCCCTTAGTGTGTTTCCCATATGTTTTCCAATTGCTTTCATGAAACAGCAGGATACTTAATGGTTGAAGAAGTGGTCAGGGATGGTTCTTGGTCTATCACTATTTGCCAAAAGGAGAGTCAAAATTCCATTATTAATTTTATCTACCTTCAGAAAAGTATAACCTGGAGTATTCAGCCCTTGAGTTCTTCTTTTACAGCCCCTGAAGGCCCCTCCAACAAATCCCAAAACACTAGGCAGAGCAGCTTCCTACCATTTTAGGTAGAAAACCCAAATACAAATTCCCAAATGGGCCTAACATTGTTTCTAGAAATTCCTCTTTAAAAACAGAAGATCCTGACCCTGGCCTTATATATGGCGCAATCTCAACCATCTTGTATCATTTTCCCTCCCACCGTGGTTCTCATTATTGTCCAAAATCTAGAAGCCCCAATTAAAGTCATTCATCTATGATCCACTCTGTTTAGTGCAAATTTGCTTAGGAAATGGGAATGGAAAAGAATGGAACTCGTTCCTCCTGTGCTGTTTTCATTCAAAAATTATCCTGAAGACATCCATTGGCTCAAGCCCCACAGTTGACTTTTCCTGTGAAAAATGTTCTATGTCAAGCACAGTAATTGAAACATTCTGCCAAAATACTTTGAACTTTGCATCTTTTTCTCCATTTTAGTTCCTTCTGTTCAGTTTGCCTTATAAAGGCAAAAAATATTGGCCTTTAGTGACAATTTTAAATTAGAATGGGAATCCTGCATCTTGGAGTCTGCGTGAGGACATCTGCCCTATTTGATATGACACTAATTTCATGAAATTCACAACTGGGTAGCCTAAACAGAAATACAAAGGCGGGGGAAACTAGAAATGCATAAGGTGCTAAACAACCTGGTAGTGATGCAAACTATATCCTGGTTAGACTTTAACTCCACCTGCCATTATCTTTGTCCACGGTTGGCTTTTACAGTTAAGTACTGGAATGATATCCCTGCTGCCATCTATCTGACTCCCATCCACCCATGTTCCGGAAATCTTTGTAAAATTGGCTGTTCTCCAGGCCTCAGATAGAATATGTCAGACCTATATTAGCTTTATTGCAACAAAAACTTGTAAGTCTGAAAGCACTTCTGCCTTCTTTTTACTTTCCAGAAAATTGGTGGGTAGGTATGGGTTGTTGTTTTTTTTAGAATGTTCCTCATGCCCTCTGAACTTCTGAGGGTAAAATACCCTTTTCATGATGTCTGGGCTAAGGCTCTTCCTCTTGTCTTCCAAGATCATTGTCATAGTCCATTGCAGAATGGGCTATGAACCTCAATTAATTTAGAAGAAACTTCTTGGATGAGAAGTGAAACATTTTCAAAGAAAAAAAAAATTAAGAAATTCCAGTTGCCTTTTGAAAAAAAGTATCCTTAGGATAACCATGACCTGGATGATTGAGAATCTCCATAGACACTCAGTTAGTTTTATTTTCTGTTGTAGATGATGTGTTGGCTGGCTGCTGGACATTTTAAAAATTGTTTTCTAGTTTTACTATAAATTAGCATCCGCTAAATTTCAAACATATATAAAAAAAATCAATGGTTCATCACAGAAAAGAAGTTTATGGCCTCAGTTTTGAATCCATTTTCTGCAATGCCTTTATCTGGATCTCCTTTATCCACTTTAGCCAGAACTATACTTTACACAAGACCAAACTGCCTTATGGGCTGTTCTGACATCAGATGTGATGGATTTAAAGGAGATAAGACATATTGATATATTGTGTATCAGTTCATGGAAGATCAGGCTGTTACTTTTGACTTCTGAGATTGCTAGATGTACGTACTTGGCCATTGTGCGGCATATATTAACAATATTTCAGGACAACTCTCCTTATATTTACATATAATGATTCAATTAGAACAGAGCTGGAAGGGACCTTGGAGGTCTTCTAGTCCAACCCCCTGCTCAATCAGGACACCCTATTTCAGATAAGTAGCTGCCCAGTCTCTTAAAACCTACAGTAAATGAAGCGGCTAAACTTCTGAAGGCAAGATATTTCACTGGTTAATTGTTTTCACTGTTAGGAAATTTTTCCTTAGTTCCAGGTTCTATTCTTTCTTTCTTGCCTTCTGATGCTTTGAAAAATAAGTTGACCCCATCTTCTTTGTGGCAGCCCCTCAAATACTGCAATACTGCTACCGTGTCACCCCTAGTCCTTTTCTCTGGACTGGCCATAACCAATTCCTGCAACCATTCTTAATATGTTTTAGATTCCAAGCCTTTAATCACCCTAGTTGCTCTTCTCTGCATTTTTTCCAAAGTCTCAGCCTCTTTTTTGCAGTGTGGTGGCCAATATTGGATGCAGTATTCCAGGTGTGCTTTTACTAAGGCTTTATAAAGTGGTACTAATACTTCATGTGATTTGGATTCTATGCCTCTGTTTATACAGCCAGGGATTGTATTAGCTTTTTTGGCTGCTGCCTCACATGGCTGACTCATGTTTAAGTGATTGTCCACTAGGAGTCCAAGGTCCCTTTCACAGTTATTTGATGTTTTTGAGCCAAGTTTCACCTAATTTGTATTTATACTGTTGGTTTTCCCTGCCTAAGTGTAAAACCTTGTTTTTCTCAACCTTAACTTTCATTTTGTTACATGGGACTCTATATTCAAGCCTGTCAAGATCCATCTGGATCTTGAGCCTGTCTTCTGGGGTATTAACTATTCCTGCTCACCAAGAAGTAGATTGTGGTCTACTTTGTCAAATGTCTTACTGAAATCTAAGTATATACTATGTCCACAGCATTTCGCTGGTCTACTAATTTAGGCACTTTGTCAAAGAAAGAAATGAAATGATTCTTTAAAGAAGAGCCAAGTTCTGCAGAATTGTAAACACCGCTCTTCAGTCTACTTTCTTACCTGAAGTGTAGTTGTTGGCTTTCTTTGCTAAGAATACAGGAAAGTGGGGACAAGCTCTGCTTTTCTGAACAACTGCAGCTCAGGACACATGAATCTTCTAAATCTGATAAAGATCACTCTTTGGCCAAAACTTCCTTTCCTTTTTTTTAAGGGAAGCTTCCAATCTAAACCTCAACAAAGAACCTAGAAATGCTGCCAACTTACACACTTGTTAGAAAACCCAAATTCTTCTGCTTCTTTACAGTTCTCCAAGACAAAGAGGCTGGCAGCTATAATTTGCGGCTGGCATTGAAATTCCCAGTTCCATGTTCAGCTTTCCTTGCTGCCATGCAGCAAGCAGCTACTTGCTTGCCAATATCATTAACATAGCTGCAAGTTTTGGTTTAGGAGAGGAGATGATTGTGTTTATTTTGAAGCAGAATAAAAGTGGGGGGTATTAGAAAAGGGAAAACCCGCTTTGTGCATAACTGAATCCACATCTCAACCTTCAGAATGGAACGTCTACTTTCTGCTCATTGTTAGCAACATGTAAATTGCTAGGTTCTATTGTGCTGTCACAATTGGACTGACTGTTCCAGTTTCAGAGATTTTGTTGTTAGAGCTTTACAAATACTGACCTTACAAATGGTTTTGAACTAGGAGAAAACTGACTGTAGTTTTCTTTTTCATCATGAATTGATTTTTACCTCCTCTCAAGAATGTTTGAAGTTTGGAGCTTTTATTGGCAAAGAGGATATAAAATTTTGCTACCAATTGCCTATTTAAAAACAAAATGCTGCCTTTGCCATGAATTAGGACTTAACAACAATATCTCATAGTTACTGCAAAGAAATGGCTGGCGTATGATCTCAAAGTGATTTTCAAAATAAATTATGCTGCTAATTAAAATTTTGGTACTCCCAAAGGTGCTTTTTCAAGAGGCAACTGGACTTTCTGAATTTTTTCTTTGAAGACGTTTCGCTTCTCAACCAAGAAGCTTCTTCAGAGCTGAAGCTGAAGAAGCTTCTTGGATGAGAAGCAAAATGTCTTCAAAAAAACCCCAGAAAGTCTAGTTGCCTCTGGAGAAAGCACTTTTGGGACAACTATGATCTGGATGACTGAGAATTTCCATGGACATTTTAACATCTTGGTAATTTGCTGCCTGATAGGGAAGGATTTCACCACTACCACCTTTTCTAGCCTCTATATGAAATACATTTCATCCTTTCTTTTTAAAGGATGAAATGTATTTGTGCTGTATTTTTCAGACAATCCCAAACTAACTTGAGATTAATTTCTGGAAACTCTAGAACAATGAGATATGGAGGCATTTCAGCTAATGATATAGGTTAGTATTGGGACCTTTTCTTCCAAAAAACAGGGAGCACAAACAATTGTAGGTAGGCTGATGGCTTAGCTGGTGGAAATGATGCCACAACATTGAAAGAGGTTATAGATGTGAAAGCTATAAAGGTACAAGTTCACCTGAAGCTGGTCTACTGAATGATATTGTGTAAATCATTTTCTTGAGACTGCGTAGGAAGCAAGCAGTTTTTTCCTTTAATAGTTCTTCTCTTCTGGCTTTGGGGGAAAAAAATGTTTACATGGGACCTTACCGGCAAGTCAGTCTTCTATCCACATCTGCAATGTAAGCTTGATGCTGCTGCTAATCTGCAATGCTGTATGTGAAGTATGAACTAATTAGAAAAGGTTGGGAATTGTGATGATAAAATACAGATATGCAGGTAGTCCTTGACTTATGACCACAATTAAGTCCAAAATTTCTGTTGCTAAGTGAGACATTTGTTAAGTGAGTTTTGTCCCATTTTACCACCTATCTCACCACTGTTTTTATGTGAGTCACTGCAGCTGTTAAGTTAGTCACACAGTTGTTAAATTAATCTGACTTCCCCATTGATTTTGCATGTCAGAAAGTCGCAAATTGTGATCACATGATCCTGGGGCACCGTCATAATTATGAGGCAATTGCCAAACGTCCAACCTTTGATCACATAACCATGGGGATGCTGCAATAGTTATAAGTGTGAAAAACTGTCATAAGTCACTTTTTTCAGTGATGTTGTAACTTTGGATGGTCACTAAATGAACCATTGTAAATCGAGAACTACCTATAGTGTTTGCTAACACAAGTTTTTAGATATACTCAAGTGCTTATATTATTACCAATTTAATTTAGTTCAGCTTTCAAGACAGTCCAGTTAATGTTTCTAAAATAGCACATTAGTAGTTTTAGAGTGCACATTTATACAAAGCAAGATTTTGAGAATAGGGTGGACAATCAAGATTGCCTGTTAGAATCCCTGTAAATCAGAATAATTATTTTAATAAAGTCTTCAGACTTTCCCCCCCCCACATGCACCTAACCAGTGCACAAAAATCCAATGGCAACATATTATTTTTTTGACCATGCCTCTTTATCTCATCCCCAGGCTATCAACAAGAGAGGCTTAAGTTATCTTTAGCTATAGTAATATTGAAGTAGTCTTATCCCTCTTATTCCAGTGCAGTCCAAGGACAGACAAGATACTGTGGACATAATATATTTAGATTTCAGCAAGGCTTTCGATAAAGTAGACCACAACCTACTTCTTAGTAAGCTAGAAAAAAGTGGAATAGATAGCACCACCACTAGATGGATTCACAACTGGCTGGCAAAGTCTACATGGAGGGAAGTAAGCAGTGGGGTGCCACAAAGTTCCGTCTTAGGCCCAGTACTCTTCAATATTTTCATTAACAACTTAGATGAGGGAATAGAAGGGGAACTTACCACATTTGCAGATGATACTAAGCTGGCAGGAATAGCTAACACTCAAGAAGACAGGCTCAAGATCCAGATGGATCTTGACAGACTAGAACACTGGGCCATATCTAATAAAATGAAATTCAATATAGAGAAAAGTAAAGTCCTACACTTAGGCAAGAAAAACCAAAAGTACACATATAGACTGGGTGAAACCAGGCTCAATAGCAGTAACTGTGAGAGGGCCCTTGGAGTCTTAGTGGACAACCAGCTAAATATGAGCCAGCAGTGTGCAGCAGCTGCCAAAAAAGTTAATGCAATCCTAAATTGTATTAACAGAGGGATACAGTCAAGATTAAGGGAAGTACTAATACCACTCTATAAAGCCTTAGTAAGATCACACCTAGAGTACTGCATCCAGTTTTGGTCACCACATTATAAAAAAGATGTTGAGACTCTAGAAAAGGTACAGAGAAGAGCAACCAGGATGATTAGGGGACTGGAGACTAAGGCATATGAAGAATGATTACAGGAACTGGGCTTGGCTAGTCTAGTGAAGAGAAGGACCAAGGGAGACATGATAGAGGTCTCCCAATTTTTGAGGGGCTGCCACAGAGAGGAAGGGTTCAAGCTATTTTCTAAAGCTCCTGTAGGCCAGACAAGGAATAATGGATGGAAACTGAACAAGGAGAGATTTAACCTGGAAACAAGGAGAAACTTTCTGACAGTGAGAACAATCAACCAATGGAACAGAAGTTGCCCTCGGAAGTTGTGGGAGCACCATCAGTTGAGACTTTCAAGAAGAGATTGGACTGCCATTTGTCAGAAATGGTGTAGGGTCTCCCGCTTGGGCGGGGGTTTGGTCTAGATGACCTACAAGGTCCCTTCCAACTCTGATTATCTGTATCTGTAGATATAAAAAACCTGCTAGGCTTTGGATAGAAGTCAAGCAATTACAATGACTTGAAACAGGCAAAAAAATCAGGATAAGGATCAGAAGCCAAGACAGTAAATGCTATTATAGTTTTCTGCTGATTCAAAGCTAGGTAGAGAACATTTCAGTTTAACAATGGAGAAAGGCTTATCAGATACCTATTCTCAAATACCTGATTTACATATCAAATTAGAAGAAAACATCTTCCTCAGCTCCCTTTGATTAAGAATTATCAATTTTACAGGTTTTTTTTAATGATAACAAAGCATTGTTAAGAAAATAACTCAATGGCAGTTTCATTTGTGTCCTGTGAGTTAATAACATTTATGAATTGCTGTTGGGTTTAGCTGATTTGATCTTCATTGTTGTTCACCTGTAAAATATGGATTATCTTGTTAATCTTTTAATCTTTTATATGGTCTTAGATTTCTACGGAGTCTTATGACTCATATGTAAAGAAAGTGGACTTGAAGTAGAACAGGCATCCCTGTAAACAGAGGGCTAGCCATGATGAAAGGGTAGAGAACCAGAAAGCAATTATGTGGTTGAGATGCTAAACAAATGAAGTGTGTTCTCAATTACTTTAACTAAATGTTTTTCTCCTTATTTTGCAGAATGTGCTTATTGTGGAGGTAAGTTCATATTTTTGTCTATGTCAAAGAGCAGTTTGCATGAATTTCTTATTTTATTCTAATTAGAGAAATACCACTAATTTTTGAATGGCTGGCTAAATGCCAAACAATAATAAAACTTGATAATTTAAGTAAAAGTACATATAGAATATTTATGAATCATCTATTTAAAATTCTAGATTTAAAAAGTTATTGGAAGAGTGGACCTTTGTTTTTACAATAAACAAAAATATCACTGAATTATTTTTAAAAATTAACAATATGTTTTATGTCTATTGTTAATATAACTTAACTTTTAGAATATTAATATACAGCATTTTAGATTGCTTTGCTAACATTGTTTGTACATTTTACAAAGGACATCATTGGGACTGGAAGGACTATGAAAGCACTCCTGGACAGTATTAAAAAACATAAACCCACAATGGTTAAGGTAGCAAGGTAAGTGTCCATTTGGAAAGAATATGTTTAGGCTTAAATCAGTCTGCTGCCAAGTCAAAATTTCCTTAACTTTGATTTATTTGCTAAATTCAAAAGTAGTATCAAACCACAGTTTGCAACCATTTTGCCAGTGTTAATATTTGGTTCTAATCGAACAGCTAAACAACCATATTAGAAGGAACCAGGCATAGCCTGTCTCACTCTCTGCTCCTGGTATTAAAATATTAGGGTGTGTTTGTGAAAGCTCTCTATTGGCACTGAAAGATCAACATGTGGGTCATTTTGCATGATCAAAGTTAGAAAGAAAACGAAAGACCACATTGATTAGATTTAGAAGGTGGAGAGATATGATACAGTCCTTCTGTTTACTCGGAAGTAAATTAAATCATTTTTAATCAGTATCAATTCTAAGTAAGTATTAAATAATTAATTTATATGGCTGCATTTCCATGTAAAGCAGATTTTTTTGCTTGACAACCTAACAACAAATGCCTAACAACATTTGGCATCTTAGTGGTGTATTAAGGATCAAAAATAGAAATCAAGGAAATAAGCTGATACAACTAGAGCAAAAAGTAAATTTGATTTAATTTTACATTTGAATGTAATTAAAATCAAATAAAGTTAGTATAGCTTGCATGATTGATCGTCAGGTAGTTATCATACTTAAAAAGCATGTTTTTATTTCCAGATTAAATCTCTTCTTGCTCAGTTTCCATCCATTATTCCTTGTCTGGCCTACAGGTGCTGTAGAAAATAGCTTGACCCCCTCCTCCTCTCTGTGGAAGCCCCTCAGATATTCAAACACTACTATGATGTCCTTCTCTTCACTAGACTAGCTAAGTCCAGTTCCTGCAACCATTCATCGTATGTTTTAGTCTCCAGTTCCCTAATCATCCTGGTTGCTCTTCTCTGCCCATTTTCTAGAGTCTCAACAACTTTTTTATAGTGTGGTGACCAAAACTGGATGCAGTACTCTAGGTGTGGTCTTACTAAGGCTTTTAAAAGAAGTTTTGGAAGCATCATCCAAGGTTTGAACATCCCTAATGAAGAGATTATTTACCACAGTGTAATACCAACAGCTTTCTATATGGAATGTCTATGATGGCATCTGATGCGGATGACAAAAGGCCGGAAAATAAAGACAGAATATTGATTGGGATTTTGTCCTGATTACTATTTCAACATCTCATATAGCAACCAGAAATATCAAGATGCTGAATACAAAGTCCAGTGGAGTGAAAACAGAATAATGTCGGGAGATCAATTAGTAGGCTAGAAACTAGGTTTCTCAAGTAGCTATGGGGAAATAGCTATGTTTAAGAAAAGAAGGGAAACCGTGGTAATATTCTTCACATACTTGAAAAGGTATCACACAGAGTAAGCCATTTTTGCCCTAGAATGCAAAGCATTAAATGATAGCCTTAAGTGACAAGAAGGTAGATTCAGTCAGCCATTAGAGAAAATTTCTCAATGCTAAAAATAGTTTCACAATAAAGTAAATTATTCAGAAAACAGTGGGTTCTCTTTGGTGGTTGTCTTCATGCAGAAGTTGAATATACATTTATTTGGGATATTTTAACCTGGATTTTTACACTGAACAGAGAGCTTCTTAATTCTGTGGTTCTAACTTCTGCTAGAAGGGAAAACAGAAGACCAAAGTTCCAACTGTGCAGTGTCCACTTAAAAGAAGCAATTAGCATTTGAAGAGGGTCACTGCTCATTCAAAGAGACATTATTATGTCTATACTTCGGCTTCAAATAAGGCAGGATGGCCGTTCATAATATGGGCCACGGTTCACTTTAGTGAATCTTTACTTGTATGGGACAAATTTTTGAGACTTTTTTAAATCATGGAAACATTTTGTTCTTTATTTAATTGCAGCTTGTTGGTGAAAAGAACAGCTCTACCAGATGGATTCAGGCCTGATTGTAAGTCACTTTCTGTGAATTACTTTGTATTCAAGGATATTCAAGAAAACTTCCATTCTCAAACTAAACAAATTACCTAGGAATTAGGATGCACTTTAAAAATGTTATTAAGAACGGACCAATTGTGAAAATGCCCTATGTTCACCTGAAGTTTTTTTCCCCTTTTTAACACGTATTAGGATCTTTGACTTGTTCATCTCTAGTAGAATAATAAATCAAAACAAAATATCAGATATAATTTCCTGGTCAGTTTAGCTGCTCCTCTTGACAGAATCAGGAGTAATAAAAGAGGAAGCATCAGTGTACTTGTTTGTTCTTGATGTAGCCATCAAAAATCTCTGCCTTGTCTTGTACTTGGCATATGTGAATTATAGTTCCCTGTGTGTCTCAAACTACTTAGCATCACAGTCTGTCATTCCCAAGACTATTAAGTATTCATTCATGTTCATTACACCACTTTCAAGGCAGAGCTGTCAAACTCATGGCCTGTGGGCCAGATGCGTCAAGCACTGGCCACGCTCATGGCCAGTTTAGTGAAGGGGGGGAAGTCATGACACATCACATGACAATGCCGTGATGACGTGAATTTGACACCCCTGATATAAGACATTCAAAAACTTGTCATCATTAACCCTCATAATTCATTGGTGTGTTAATCATGTCATTTGTCAAGCCATAGTTTGCTTAATCCTAGTTTGTTAAATTGTAATTATCTAGCTATACAGAAATGCATGGTTTATTCTCTAAATCAGAAACAAAAATCACAAAATGGTTTAGCAGAGTACATGAACCAGGTTTGAAGTTTCAAACATTACCATGATCCAGAGGTATCTAAACAGCAACCAACTGGAGAATGTAACACAATTTGATTTCTCTAAAAAGTAGCAAAACCTACTTGTGATGCAAACTGCATCACGATGCAAGTATGAAATGATTGAGTTTGTGTTATAATGTCATAGCAGGTAATTTATCTTTTGACAAATGCTTAAGAATGGATGCCCATGAGCTTCAGCTGTTGTTGCTAAAAGGTGATAGAAAAATATAAGAGGAGAAATCTGATTGGATAAAATAAAGTTAAGAATATTTCAGATTTTCTTTCCTTTTCTGAGTCAAAATCAAGAGGATCATTTTGAGACAGTTTATGTGATCTAATAGAACACTTCTAGTCAACTGTGATTTAAAGGATCAGCTGTAAAACATTCTCCTCTAAGCCTTTTTATATCAGAAATAACTAGAATTTGACTAATAAAGATATTTTTCAGGTTACTGAACTATGACTTAAAGAAAGAAAGAAAGAAAAATGATTTCAGTTGATCGTTTTAACAATATATCCCTTTTTCTTTTTCTTCCTCCTATGTTAGATTATGGATTTGAAATTCCAGATTTATTTGTGGTGGGTTATGCCTTAGACTACAATGAGTACTTCAGAGACCTAAATGTAAGTTTTAGCCTTCTCGGTTTTCTGAAATAAGCTTTTTTTAAAAAAAAAATACCATAGTGATTTATGAAGTGCTTCTGTGGCAGGATATTAGCAGAAAAGGAAAAGAAGAACAGGGGACAAATTAATATTGGTAGAATATATGGTCAGACTACAAAGATTCAGTTTTTGACATCTTCAAATATATTGAAAAAATATGTTGTCTGAAATCCTGGAGAATTTGTACCAGTCAGTGTAGATATGAGATTCAGGATTCATTGAGGCCCATCAAAGTCTTGAATATAGCTTCTAGGAACTCTTAACACAGTAATGTTTTAATGTGGCAGTAGGAAAAATTATTACATTCTTGAAGAGTAAATAATATTTAACTATATATAACTGATCTGCCTTTACCTAATTTGTTGGATCCTTGCTGGAATCTGGGAGGGATCTGAGGAATTCTACTCAAAAGCCAAAAGTATCTATGTACCCCAATGTAGACAATAATAAACTAAACAACCCAGTGACCCAAATGGTATTTAACTTCCTATGTTCCTGTACTTTGCATTTTCTAAGGAATGTAGTATAGAGTTGGTTGTATAAATAATTTTGTCTTCATTGAATGACAGTGTTAAACTTCTGTTGTTTCAGCACTTATGTGTTATCAATAACCACGGCAAAGCAAAATACAGAGTCTAAAGAATAACTAATCATCTTTGTCTGGAACATTGGTGGTCCTCATGATCATCACCATAAGAACAGACCAACTCATCTCATTCAGACTGGACCAGATATGGCATCTCCCCTTGGACCTTGGATCACCTTGGACTTTGACATAGTTGAACTCCTTTATTTCCTTCAGATTTCCTAGGATAACCAGGATAAGTCAAAGGCAGATATAATACAGTATTCTACGTCCAAAAGAATAGAAATTAGAGGTGAAAGAATACTTGCCTTTTAACTTTTTGTACCCTGCTTTGCCCAACCTTAACATACCAGATTTGTTGGAGTTAAACTCCCATTGTTTTTAACCAACAAGGTTCCTTACCCTGTGTAACAAGTGCCTTTAAAAATGTGTGTTGAACACAACTGCACAATGATCAGTGGTCTCTGTGGGGCTATTTTAATGGTGCAGTTGTTAGCTCATTTTTCTTCAGACAATGTTGTAGTGCCTTTACTTAAGCTCTTTTTTAACAGAGATTTGAATACATAATTGTTACCATCTCCTTTCTATGACACAATCATTGTTGAGATATTTATTCTCACCCATTATTTAAAACTCAAAGGAGCAAAGACCTCAAACTAAATGATTTTCTCTGAACTCAATAGCTCCTTGTGAAACTCCTGAGATAATTTAGGCTGGTCAAGAATGGCTTTAGCCAGTGTTTGAGTTCATAGAAGCAAACAGACTCCACTGTGGTTTAAACATTGTGTTTTGTATATCATTGCTTTTGTTTTAGTATTATGTGTGAACCATCTCACTATAGCATGTTCAGCTAAACATAGTTTTAAACCATTCCATGACTAGCAGGCAGGGAGGAAGTGCCATAAGTAAGCAAACAATTGTCTTCTTATTCAAAGTCCAGTATTATGTACACTATATTATAACCTTCTAGTATGCTTCAAAACTAATTTAGGATTTGAAATGATAGTAGTCCTAGTCTTACATTCTTAACCAGGGGAATTCAAAAGATGGCAATTTGTCATCTTTTATTTGTTTCAGCAGAATCTTGCATTCTAAGGTTGATGGAAATTGAAATCTAGTATCTAGAGGGTAAGGACAATTGCCTACGCTTCATCTGATCTTAGTGTCATGCTGTCTTTGTTCGTTTCTTTGACTTCTGCTTCTTACTTCCCCACAAAATTTGTTCCAATGCCACTTTATTCAGAGCTGCAACTCCTGTTCAAGGAATACAAGGATTAATTTGGAATCATTGGAATAATATAAGCAAGTATATTAGCACAGTAGATGATGAAAAATAGAATTTGCATACAATAAATGTTAAAAGTCATTGGAATTGTTGCTGCTTTTGCGAAATATAACTGCAGTGGTTAATTATGTATTGAGCCTTATCCAGATGCATTGGGACTGCAAATCCCAGAATTCATTTCAGGAATTCTAAGAACCAGGCTCTGGCAATTGGCTGGGGCCCCAATGTGGGCATCCCATTCTGGAAGCAGCTAAGAGAAGATCCTACCTCCACCCTATTGAACACATTGGTCCTTTTTATCCAGTTTGTTCTTAATTTTAATCTTTAACATTTAATGTTCAATGTTTCATGCTTTTGACCTTCTAATTGTTTTATATTGCTATTATGATACTATAAATTGCCCAAAAATCACTTGAGAGTCTGATAGGCAACGTATAATTTTAATAAATAAATAATCGTGCTAACACATCTAGAGATGTAAGATTAGGAAAAGCCAATGTATCAAATCTTCAGTTATCCTATAATAATAATTGAAATCATGTTTGAATTCTGGCCCAGATTATTTAATTTATAACCTTAATTTAGGTTATAGTTCAAAGCATCCCAATCAATTTATGGTGGAAATATTGGTCCAACAATATTTGGATTGATGGGACATTCCTGTTGTTCAGTTGTGACTCTAATACAACCTTGTAAGCCTCTTGGTGGCTTCCTTTGACCTATAATTCCTTTGTAAAGCAAATAGTTTACTGTATTAAAAAAAATCTATCTAGGCATTAAAAGATTGAACTCTTACAACACGATAACTTGTTTTCCTTTCATCTCATTCCTTGTGAATGGTTCTTTTTCATACATTTCTTCTGCATGTAAGGCTAGAAGGCAACTTTCTTAACAGTAGATCTTATTTAACACCGTGAAACTAAAAATGTCATTTAACACAATAGAGTTTGATTAAATATGCCGAAAAATGGTGTTTTCTGTGAATCAAAAAAGTTTTCCCATTTTCAGTGGTTGAAAACTAGCCTTTTCGTCTTCTATGTATGGTAAGAATTCTTAGGTTAGGGAAAGAAATATGACTATATTTGTTTCTTAGTCTCTAAAAGCAAATTTGCAGACTAGTGCTCAGAATCGCCAGGTGTTACCATATCCCAGTTCCTGAACTATTAATTTATATTTGACTCCAACTGGTGGATTTCACACTTTAGATTAAAAAATAAGTCCTGTAAATTCAAGCCCACTATCAATCATTATTTTTACATTAGTGATTATAATTTCTCACTTAATTTGTTTTAGCACAGAAAAGATAGGTTTGGGGGTAATAAGGTTAAAGCAGGCATGTCCAAGCCACAGGCTACATGTGCCCCTGGACAACTACTAATGTGGCCCCACAAGATCATAAAATATAAAAAATAAAGGAAGTTTGTAATTGATATACATTATATTTTAGTTAGGAAAATACCAGAGCACTTCAGCTTTGTTTTCCAAATGGACTGCATAACCCATAATCTCTAACTGGGCCTAATGGAAATTGTAAACTATCGACACAGACTTAACTATGAGGAAGAAGATGCCTAAAGACTACTAAGCACCAATATTCCCATAATAACTAATTATGGCCAAAGGTATTCTTAAAAAGCATTTCACTTTTTAAAAATTGGATTTTCTTTTCTTGTGCTTGTTTTTCATAACTAGTCTACTAATCCTTGGGTGTAAATGCTGCAACAGCTAGAATTTTTACTGATCAAATGTACTTTGTTCTGAAAAAAGGGGAATCATTTTAAAATAAAACTTAGTAATATGTAAATCATTTAAAGTACATTTGCCTTAGTGGGATTCCTATTTTTTTACACAACTATCTCCAGGGGAATTTTGCATTTTTACTTTTGCAGGTAAAGAAGAAAGGCCATGGGCTTTTATAAATGCTCCCAAAAGCTTCTTAGAGACAGCCAATTGTAAAAAAAAGGAGGAGGAGGAGGAGGAGGAGGAGGAGGAGGAGGAGGAGGAGGAGAAGGAGAAGGAGAAGGAGAAGAAGAAGAAGAAGAAGAAGAAGAAAGAAGAAGAAGAAGAAGAAGAAGAAGAAGAAGAAGAAGAAGAAGAAGAAGAAGAAGAAGAAGAAGAAGAAGAAGAAGAAGAAGAATTATTACCAGTAAAAGATGTTTTGTTCTGAATAGCATTGGCCTTATTGTGGTTAGACTGGAGTTTCTACTAAACTAATAAACAGCATATTTTACTATCTTGCAAATTTCTTATGATTTCTCTCTTCTCTTTTAGCATAGATTTGCATACCAGCTTGAAGCTTTCACTTCAAATAAATAAATGCTTTTTGGCAAAAACAGTGTAAATCTTTGCTCCTGGCTAATTCAAATTTTCCAACATCTAAGTATTTTTGTATTTTTGCTTCCTATAAAAAGAGAATAAAGCAAATGATAATAATTGGGGAACTTCAGATGTTTTTCAGTTTTTCAATTTTTCCCCATGTTTGGTATTTTTACAAAATGTTGTCACTATTAGGTTGGTTGGGTATGCATTTTTAGGCTAAAAACAGGTGGTTTTTTTTTAAAGAAGAAAATTCTTTTGAAGTTATGAGAAGTTATGGCTTCCCATAACTTAGCCTTGGAACTTCAAGCATCACAGCCGGTTCTATCTGGAGAGTGGTTAAAAAGAACGCATTCAATCTCAAAAGGCATGCAAAAAATATTTTCGGCATATTCAGTATCAGAAGGCATGCAAAACTTATTCTCAACACATAAATAATCTCTTCACCATAACCATGAAAAGATAAATAAAAAAATTTGTGCCTGAGAAATGACCGCCTTTGTATGCACTAAACACACACAAGAGTTTGAGCATAAGTATTTTTTCCAATTAATATGTCGAATCAACATCAAACTTTATAACTTGTAAGCCACCCAGAGTCACTTTGTACGGCGGCATAAAAATTAATAATAAATGATTTCAGATGTAAAAGGTTAGATTCATTTTTATGACCTCATATGAATTGTCATTATTTTGGTAGATAGTTTTCTGTACTTTAATAAATTGGCACACCTGAAAGTGAGGAAAAGCTCAGGCAGTCCGTCTGTCTACCTTAAGGCATTTTACTAAACTGAAAATGTTCGCCATTGACTACTGTTTTAAAAAATGCATACAATTTGTCTCCTCTTTCTGAGAATAGAGATACTATTGTCTATATTAATCATGGAGAGATATTTGAGGTGATGCACTTTCTACTAAACAATTAAAAAATTCTCAAGGCACAAATATATATATATGAAGATGACAATGAATACTTTAGTCTAATACAGATAATAATACTTAAGCTTTGTTACTTTCCTTTCATGCAGCTAGTGCTAATACTGGCGTTCCACCTGTACTGACTATTACTTATGCAAGTAGGAACTTGAGCATCATATACTCCTATTTACAGCTGCTTGTTCACTGCAATCCTCATCAAAGGCTCTTAGGCTTGCATCATATCATACAGATGGTTGTTTGACATGAACAATGAGGATAAATTATAGATAGTAATATAATAGATGAAGCATACGGTGGCATATGATAGATTATTACCAAGAAGGAAAAATAGGAATAATAAACTCTTCCAGCTCAATTGTTGTAGTCTGCTGAAATAAGATCTTCAGCTAAACAAAAATAAAGGCCATAACAATCTTAGAAATGTCTCCAAAGAAAAACTGCACCCTTTGAACTGTGACTGCAGTGATATTGATGAGGCACTTGGACATCTCATAATGCAACATGTTGATGTTGATAAGGCATTTGGGCATCTCATAGTGCAGAATGTGCAGATACTACCTCAGCTTCTCCACATAGAAAGAAAAAAACTCTAAACTGAAATCTTGAACTGCCTTTACTAGTTACACTTCAGGAACTAATGGTCTGATCTAATATGTATGTATGTATGTATGTATGTATGTGTGTGTGTATATATATATGTGTGTGTGTGTGTGTGTGTGTGTGTGTGTGTGTGTGTGTGTGTATATATATATAT